CTCCTGATAAGGAATCGTAATACGGTTAATTCCTCTTACTAACATTAAAAAAAATGCACGCAAACAGATAATGAAAAATCGTAAAGTGCAGCAGTTCCGGTGAAAACTCCCAATTAGTTAAAATCAATTAAAAACCGTGCTCTTTGCTTAATTTTGGTAAAAGGAATCTTATCTTTGGTTAATTTTTTATTAAAAAAATAGCCGAAAAAAAATTTCCTATCGTTACCTCATCTACATTAATGTCTACATAATTTAGGAAATTTTTTTTTTTTTTTATTCCACGAAGTATTCTTAGCATTAAATGCATTAAAGCAATTCATGTGTACAAAAACTACGATTATTAATTAGTAGTAACAGAGTCGATTTTTGTTATCTCTTGGACTTAATTTTCTAACAGAAAAACCAAAGCGAAGGAGAGGAAAAGGGGGGGGGAAATGTAAAAGATTGCAGTATAGAAATCGAGTAAAGATATCAGTAATAGAGAGGAAAGTGATGGAATCGATTTTCATCCAGGATTATTTATTTTTTTTTTTCGGACGAAGGAAGTAAAAATTCAATTTCGATTCTAGCATTTTTTTTTTTTTTTATAGAAAAATCTCCAATCGGTGTGGTACTACAGAAGACTATCATTCTTTGAGAAAATGCAGTTTGCTTTTCACTTTACCAATTGGGTCTTCTCTTGGGCGGTGGAACAAGAAACTAATGACGTTAGAATCTCGTCAAAAGTAGTAGTACATCGTTTCAATTCATTATCGGTGTCGGAGGAGAGAGGTGCAAAATTGCAGGGTAAAAATCTTCACGTGTAACAATCATTTGGTTACAACACTCGGTAATCCTTCAAGGAGTATTCATTTTTCGAAGAGTAATTTCTTTTCCGACTCCATATCAAAGTCCACTTCAGATAAGAAGGTTTTATGATCATGTTTGGGTTTTTTTCGAGATCATAAAGACACTCGAGAGACCGTAGAGCATGTTTATAAAAGACACATTGTAATCTCTCTCTCTTTTTTTTTTCGATTGTTGTAATCACGTTCCTTATCAACCAAAAAGGCATAAATCTTCAATTAGATTAAGAAGGAGAACGGTTCTTCTACACATTAAATACTATCTGTAATATAACTCGTTCTCGTAAATTAGAATTAAATAAGTTTTAACTGCATCCGAACTTTTATGTCTCGGAAATTATGGTCTTTTCTCCACCTCCTCTTGTATTTATATATATATAAGAAATATTTTATCGAAAAGCCTGTTTTTTTTTTAAAGGTATAAAAGTGGCGGTGGATGGTTAATGATATTTTATAATAATAATAATCATACCCTGTCTAATTTGTCTTGAAATTACGAGGCAACTTTTTAAATAAAACATCCAATATCGACAGATTCCACGTGTTTTTTTTTTCTGTAAAGAATTTAATTTAGTTAAAAAGAAGGGAATGTTTATAATAAAAATGTTTATACATCGTGAATTTTTATATTGCTTACAGGACGAACCGTAAGTAAACATAATAAAAATGTAGAGGGTAGGAAAATAATCACGAATATTTGTTCCATAAATATGTCAAAGACGAAAAGTTATTTAGAGTTATGATATGTTAGAGGAGTTATTAATTCTATTATGTTTCACCAAATGAAATTTTAAGATAATTATATCATTGATAACTCTTCTGTACATATTATTTTACAGAAGTTATGAAGGAACAGCTCTGTCTCTAATACGTTTTACTCTTTCTAGTCTCTGTTTTAATACGTTTTACTGTGTTTAATGTAAAGTTCGGAGGAAATCTTCTATTTATTTGTCTTGAAAGATGTTCCAAATGCTATTTAGATATGTCCAAAGCTTTTAGATTTCATCAGTGAATATACATTTCAGATCCATTTTCCCCCCCTCTCTATTATCGAAATAAAACTCATTATATTTTCGTTCATACCGTAGCGAATGTAAGGAGGTTTTTATTCTTTTAATATCGTAAATGTACTGTACAGGTGAAGTCAGAAGAGAGATTATCTAACGACCAAGTTAATAGTGTGAGAGCGATGTAGTTTTCTCGTAGATTAATGACGAACGGTTGACATTCGAAAACAATGGCTGTCTTTTAAGCTAACAAGGAGGTAACAATACTGTTGCTCAGCTCGACTGTCTTAATGATGCTACGAGTGATTCTTCAACCTTTTTTTTGTGCCAATGAAACCTTCATATATCATCATAAGTTTCTAGAAATAAAACGTTTTTAAGGTTTCTACTTACATGTTAAATTATCGAACGAATGATAAAGAGATTCCATTCCTTCTTGAATAAATTAATTGCCAATTTCTTGATTAAATGTCTTTACCGGATAGTTTTTTTTAAATGTGGATTAATTTGATTTCGTTACAATTTCTCTCTCTCTCTCTACTAACGTAGGCAACTTGGATAGACGATAAGATATAAAGATATTTATTCCGTAACGTCTTGAGGGATCGCAATTCGAAGTCTCCATTTGAGCCCTCGTAATTTTTCATGGGTACTTAGGATGGGAAGTCGTTCCCCATAACTCATCTATGCACGCCGATCCTAATACCAACAAAATCCGTTGGCGTAATGGATAAAATTGAGGCAAATGGATGCATGGATTTTATCCGTATTCCTGACAGAAAAAGCCAATCATCCCGATAACAATATAGTACCGTACTTTCCCATACTAAAAATTTACGTTCGACTGTGTTATAAATATAATTATATACCAAAAATGGTTGCTTTTACGTTAAGAAACGTGCCAGTTATTTATATACATTACGTATGCAAATTTAGGCAACGATTTGTTAGATCGTTGATTACACCGAAAGATAATCTCATATAAAAAAGTGTGCGATAATACATTAAAATTTGATAAATTCTTAACTCTTTAGCATTTATATAGAAATTTAGAAATAACAGATGATAAGGTTAAATAAAAATTGTCTTCACAGAGTTATTATATTATTAGATGGGTGAAATTAAAAACGAAAACTGGATAATTTACATTGTAAATAGCGTGAAAATATTTACAAAATTAGGTATAATTATATTTATAAGGAGAATGAAAACTCATTATCTTTAAAAGTGGAAAAATTTAGCTATCAGGCGTTGTAACTATATATATATATTTCTGGGTTCACTCTGTCTTTAATAACAGAATTTTGGCAGTTTAAACATTACTTTTTCTTTTCCTCCCACGTAAAGGAGCGATTCGACGGATCAAATATGTCTTATCAACCGATAAAACCGACCCGAAACTTCACCTTTAACTGATAAATGAAGGTATATGTCAGGAAATGACATTCGCTCTCACTCATATCCGGTCAAAGAGTTAGGTTATGTGCTCGTGACTGTCGCTTTAAGTCATCCCTTTATATGATCTTTCGTGTAATCGGGAATGGCGACCGGACGTTTCGAAAAATAGAAGAATAGAATCGAATGGAAGGAAGGGAGCAACAGGAATCGCTTTCCGTCTCAAAATATTCGAAAAAACGGGAATATTCAACCATTCGTAAGCGGCGCATAAGAGATTCGGAAGTTGGAAATTTCTCACAAGAATTTCTTCTTTTTCCTTCGAACTGTCCTTCTAAAATAGGCTTAGTCGGGTGATCTAGATGGAGAGGTCGATGCCGGTCCCGTGACAGGTGGGTCGAAGACAAGTAGCACAGAAATGTCTGCATTATGATAAGCGTGCACCTTTTTTATAGTAGCTCTACCCCACCCTAGGGAATATCCTACTATATTTCTGTGGTCTCTTTAATACCGAAAGTGTGGTGGCAGTAAAACTTTGGCCGGATTGTAGCTACAGCTTTCCTCCTCCTTCCAGCCACACAATCGAATGTTGTTCTCTGCGCAGATAATGCACTTGAGAGTCTGAAAGCGACTCAGTGTTACGCCAGGAGGCCGGATGACTTTTTTTTCCTTCTTCTTCTTCTTTTTCTTTTTAATGCCAATTTATTCAGCATGTGGACGGGCTTTTCGAATTTCTACAATTATAACTAATTAATGTTTTTTTTTTTTCCTTCGTTACAACTTATAATCGGATTAAATGCAATCTTCTTATTGGAGCTATCAACAAGTGCATCAGAAGAATCGAAAATCACCAAAAAGATTTTCTCCTCTTCTAATGGTGGCTCGATGATTAGCGTAAGAATTTATAATACCTTTGAGGACTATTTGATTGTTTTTTTTTTCCTCTTTTTATTCCTAGAGAAATCCAATATTATGATTAGCTACTTGAATAATTATTCTGTTTTTTTTTTCTTGTTACGTTTAAAATATTTATTTCTTGTGAATTTTGCCGAATATTATTAACTTAAGTACATTTTACAAGCATAGATACGTTGATAAACATTTAGTAATAAAAGCAAAGTAAACAATAAAGCAAGGATAATTAACATAACTAATAAGAAATGTTTGGATAATTATGTTATATAAGTTTAATTAGTTATCAAGGAAATAAAAATATTAATTACTTCTTGCCAATTAATGGATTTTCAGATAGTACTTTTGCAGTTTCTTCATTACATTTATATGTAATTTGGATGAAAAGAGAGAGATTTTTCTAGAGAAACCCGAGGAGAGGGGAAGATTTAATAGTGTAGTAACATAGCCCTATATTGCATCTTCCGAAAAACTCATCTCTTAGTTGTCATCGGTGGATTAAACGGCTTGTTTATTCGATCAGAAGGTCCTTTAATAAGGAAGTTGTTCATTGGTATTATGGTTGGAGACTCTGATCACCTGACCAGCACAAGGACGAATGAGTCCTCCACATCAAGGGCGTGATTCATAAGAGAAGTTCGGTCGAATAACGCGGCATTTGACCCACTTCACGCCAATTCGCTTCTTTCCTGGTTGCCAAGGTAACGTCAATCTACCGCTCGCAGCTGGAACTGTCCATATATAGAGAGAGAAGGGCAAGGAATGAATGTGGGACGTCTGTATCGGGCATCGCCCTACCTGCGGTGTAAGTCTTTTGAGCGTAAGTTAACGAAAAATATTTCGCACGACGTTATCAATTTGCATTTTCTAAGTATCCAAAAAACGATTCTTTAAACGAGCGCACCAATTTTCGGGACGATTAGTGGTGATTTATTCGGTTGTCGCATCGTATTTGTCAACATGTGTTACAGTTACAAATCGATCGAACGACGCGACCTTGATAGGAAGGAAAGGTTGAAAGCTCGAATAATTCGATGTTGATACATTCTTCCCGGTTTGTTTAGATAACAATTCTAACAAACCTTGCCTCGGGAAATCTTTTCTAAACTTTCTGTTTATCTCTTTCAGGGTGACCATGTCGGAACCTCCTCCCCCAGTCCAATTTTGTGACCAAGTGTCGAGTACTTCGGCGCTGTTATCATCGCTACTGGGTGGCGAGGAGGTGCACATTACAGCTTGGAACGAAAATGAACGTAGTGTGGTGGACTGGCAAGAAAGATGCATAGAACTAGAGGGATCTCTTCAACGATTTCGAGATCAGGCTGCTCAAATCAGAGAACTTCTCCGAGAGAAGGTACATTTATTATTATTATTATTATATATATATATTTTTTTNGAAAGAAATACTTCTGGGAATTGCTGTCTTATGACTGTGACAGTTGTCAGCTTGACTCTCTACGGCACTTCTCATCCAGGCAAGATGGTGCATTCCACACATTTGTCTGTACTTCTGTTGTTTCAGATAGGCAGTTTTGACTAGTACAACTTTTAGTTAGTGCGATAGGCAGAATCTGCTACCGGAAAAAATATATTTTTTTTTTCTGGCACGCTATGAGATTATGAAGTTTAATTCATATCGGACGTCCGATAAAAATATGACAGCGACATCACGTGATTATATTCTCCTTTCTTCTTCGTTGCTATAGGCACGGGGAGAGAAGAAAATCTATTTTCTAAAGAGGCTTAAGAGGAAATGGTTTTTGCTGCACAATACGTGGAAAATTGAGTTTGCCAAGTTTCCTAACAGTATTACCTCATATCTGACGTAGTCTAGATGACTCTTACTTTATTACCCCTTTCGGATAATGTTTTTGTACTCAATTATTTGTAGTCATTTATTAATAACGCATTTCTCTCCCTGATGACTGCGTAAACTTCACAACCGTATTTAAAAAAAATAATAATACCCTGCGTTTGTTTAATTGGATTACTGGCTTTGTTTCGAAAATAGGATAAGTAAAGCTTAAAAAACTAAGGACGAAAGAAGCGATTTGTACTCAAACATCAAAAGAAAAGATGGGGGATTGAGATCTCAAACCAGATTTAAAATACTTTTAGGTGTATTCGAGATTTACTGTTCTTGTTTTTTATTTAGGAAAACAAGTTTTTATCACAATCTTTTATGTTATTAATCTGTTAACTTTGAATTTGATGAGAATATTTTACAATTACTCTTCTATTTAAGCCGATTATCATATGTAAAAGGGTTCGATGCAAGACGTCTTCGATTTATATCAGTTTTAACTCTCTTCAAAAGTATCAATGAATAGATTTCTTGGTTTTTAATACCTTTTTTTCATTTCCTTGCTTACATTTCGACTAAAACTTTTTTCTTATCATATTTTTCCTGGCTTGTTGACATTGCGACGAATGCGATTCGCCCGGGGTGACGACCGTGTTGACACATTTTTGAGGGATTTCCGACCGATCCGAAGGGGGGAAAAAAACCCTAGCTAACATCTAGAAAATGATCTATTTTAGGAATTATTTAAAGATAGATGTAACGTGTTTAGCTGTTTATCCCTACAAACGTATCGATCTTTTGATACGAACGGAATTTACAATAGAAACGTTTTGATTTAATTAAAAAGAAACATTATCAATCACTCGTACTAAAATTGGTTTGGGTTTGTTATTCAAAATTACGTATTTGGAGATTTATTATTGTTATTTTTAAAAATTTTTCTTCACGTCGGAAACTTCTCTAGTGTACTACTGTACGCTCTCTCTCCCTTCGGTGGTCTGATCCCAGTGACGTGGGCCAGCTGCTGCAAAAAGGAGACCCTCCTCCCTCCTCCCTCTTGTAACTTAATCGTTTATGAAGCCACATTCACCAGAAATTTGGTTAATTAGTAGGTTTCAACTGCTTTTTCTTCTTCCTTCTTTTACTTTCTCAAAGAAAATTTTTCGTTTAATTAACGAAGGTGTTTTTCATTAACGCTTGTTTTAATTAAGAATTGAAAGTTGTCTTTGCATTTTGTAATGAATTTAAACCGTTCGAATTCTTTCCTCAATTAAGTATTCGGACTGTTTAGACTTTTAAACACGTTTCAATTTGATTCAATTATCGGGCGCGTGTTGTACGTCAGGAATAATATGCTAAACGATAAACTTCAACTACTCAAAAGGTCAACTCCTAAATCTGGTTACCGACTTCCGAGAATCACGTTTTAGCTACTGCTGGAGGATTGTCCCATCTGTAGAAACGGGGCCGTTTCAATCTTTACATCGCCTATTAATTAATTAAACTCTCTCGGCTTTATCTAAATTAAAATTATTTTGTGAATAGACGAATTTTCTTCGTTATTAAAGATGTAACTATTTAAATATGCTGGAAAATTCTTTACGTAATTGTTTACTCCTTTGTATTAATTACAGATACAAGAGTATTTTTACAATTAAGACTATATTTTAAAATATCTGTAAGAGCCTTTGATAAAGCCGAACGAACGGCTTTATCAAAGGCTCTGTGGGACCACATGCTATTTGAGGGAAACTCGTTATCGTTCCTTTATTATTCGAAATCTCCTAAATTCCTGTTCTAAAGGTTCTCATCTGTAAACGAATTGAGAAGATCTCATATATTTGAAAAGTTCTCGAAAGTCAAGAGACGACGGTGTCTGGCGATTTCCTAAGAAATCAACCCCATGTTTGTTTGAAGGGACATCTCGCATTCCATCCCTTCTCTCTAGCAACTAAAAGGTATGTTATGCGGTGGGAGTTATTGCAGCTTCGGGCAAAAGCAATAACCTTGCATTCTCATATTGGATCACGGAAAGAGGAGACGTTGCTTTCAAGTTGCTGCTCTTTGAACCGACGTGTTTTCGTTTCTCCATTTTGGTGTTTGCCCGGGTTACCAGGCTTTTTGCTCCGGATTACTCCAACACACACAACTCTCGTTTCGATTTCAAAATAAATAGCATAGACAATTTATGATGGGGCATATGTTTCGATCCTTTGACGAGCAGAAGAAGAAGAAGAAGAGAAAGAAATTTATGGAATTTTAAATCTTTTCAAACATCGTAGGAATTCCGAAAGAAATTAGTCACGTTCTTGATTAGATGAAGAGTTGAACTCGGAGCTGGCGTATAATTACTTATTCTGAAATATTTTAAAAATCATTAAAAATGACAAGTATCAAATAAACCCCCCGTACCAATGAATGATAGTAAAGGAGAATGGAAAATGAAGATTAAATGGGTAGAATTAGAAAGGAAACTTTAATTGGTTCTACGTATTTAAACATCTCCATCATTAAAAAAAAAAGTAATTTTTAAAGAATATTTTCGGAATTCTTTGGTGCTGATTCGAAAAGTGACTAGATATAGAAGTTACGTAAGAAACAAAACATAAGGGAAAGAAAAACTTCTGGGAATTGCTGTCTTATGACTGTGACAGTTGTCAGCTTGACTCTCTACGGCACTTCTCATCCAGGCAAGATGGTGCATTCCACACATTTGTCTGTACTTCTGTTGTTTCAGATAGGCAGTTTTGACTAGTACAACTTTTAGTTAGCGCGATAGGAAGAATCTGCTACCGGAAAAAGTCAATCTTCCCTCTCTCGAATACTATACTTACATATTTTATGTAATGTTCAAGAGATTTTGTTAAAAAGAAAAATATTTGAAACTCATAAAAGTAAAATAAACAATCTTCTCGTTCGCTATTAACCAGATCTCATTGACTATTTAAACGGAACTAATTTAATAGAATATCTAAAAGCAAAATGGAATCGTTTATAGAAGCAAATTGAGAACGTCAAACCATTCGAATTTCGACAGTAAATTTGCCTTGTATGAGTCGTTTTGAAGAGAAAATAAACGATAACAAAATTCCAGGCGCAAAAATCAAAGCTGGTCGAATTGTAACTGTACTTTCTATCAATAAACAATTTCTTTCTACGGTATCTATCGAGAAAGAATGTTATTTGGGACGACTTATCTCAGAAAACAGTTCCAATTTCGATAAAAAGAATCACAGTTGATGAAACCGAGTTGCTCGCATCAGTGATTTACCCGTCATTTGCGGCCGTTACAATAATAAAAATAAACAGAAATTGCTTGGCGGAAAAGAATCGAGGAGAAACTACTTGTTCCAACCAACTGTTTTGGATGAGAGAACTAATACAAACTTTTCTCGACTCTTTCGTATTTCTTGCGGACAATTTGGAATGGGTGATGACCTGTTTCTTCTTCTACGAGCTAATCCTAAGCAATTCCCCCAATATTTTCTGATTATCTGAAAGAACGACAGCACTCCTAATCTGTGCACGGGGTTAAGGTGACTCTGGCATAATTGCTGCCACCAGTGAGTGGCACAGAGCGTTCTTCCTTCTCGTCTAATTATTTGTTCTGTCTCGGAAAGGATTAGACGACTTTGCTAACATAAATGGATTAGGTTCTTGTGGTGCTATTAACTCTGGAATCCTGTCAGCGCCTGTTTGTTTAACCGCGGAACTGGATGGACTTCTACCTCCCCATCTTATTTCGGTTTGACTTCTCCCTCAGTGGTCTCTGTATCTTAAACGTAGTAAAAGAATATTCATCCGACCGATAATTATTCGCTTTTTCTCGTTCTTCTTGGCAGTCGGCCAAAGAAAATCTTCTTCCCTTAATATGTAACGTTTCGTGGCATTCTCGACACGTATCCGTCAGTCATCCTTTTCGGGATTAGCATCACGATGCATTCGACTTGCAACGGTCAAACTTTGATAGATTTTATAATACTTCTCTCACCGGGGCAGCTGGCTTAAATGTGTGAAGTGAGGGAGGAATTTCTTCTTTGGGGATCCTTACTGACACCTTTCTTGACTAATGGACGGGAAAAACAAACGGCTCTTTCGTCCCCGCCCACTCTATCTGGAAATGACCTTTCTCTCCATTCAGAAAGGAGGGATTTCTGCTCTGGAGTGGTCTGACCGTTTCGAGAAAACGTTCGGCTCGACTGGAAAATGTTCCTTAATGTTCCCATACCTGGAAGTAAGTGCTTTTCCATCACATTCCCTCACGAGCGATTCACTACTGCTTCTGCTTCGTGAAGCTACGCTCCGGCTTCAAGCCGGTTGCATCTGGGCATGACCCACGCAGACTGACTACTTTTCTATTGTTTCCCGATTTAAAATAATCATTTTGCCTTCAAGCTACGCGAGAGTACGCTATTAATTACACTCTAGTTTCCGTGTAATCTAGAGATTAATATTTTTTTTACCACTTTTCTCTTTCTTCCTTTTAAAACCCCACAAAAAAATCTTTATAATGCGAATTAACGATGGGCATTCATCATAGTGTAACCAAA